CCTTACGATGTCGTCACGACGTGTCTCTTACTTGGCGCTTTGCCAATGAAAAACCAAACACGTTCTTCGTCAGAACTCGTTAAGCACCAACGAAGCGCAGCACTGGCCCTGCGCCGAACGAGCGCCAAGTTTCTTTTTTTTTTGCGGTGGAAAAGGCGTGTCATTGACGTTTGCTGGAGCCAAGCCGACTCCTTTCTTTTCGTCAGTAGGCTTCGTTTTTCTGTAGTTCAAGTGCGTGACAAAAAGTCAAGGAAGAGGAACGTCAGACTAGTTGCTGCCGCATAATAAACTCGTCCGAAGTCAGCGGCGAACTCGGTCCCTTATCCTGAACGTCGTACAATTACAGTGGCTGAATCAAAGCTCATAAAAGAGATTTGGTGGAGGGCCAGTACAAAATGTCTCGAGGGCCTCTTCCACATGTACAGTGTGAAATATTGGGCCCGGTGGAGTCATTCATGGTCCAACTCCTTCAAGAGTTGAACCGCAGTAATAATGGCACGAGTCACGAGAAACCGTTATCGAGGCATTTCAGCTTGACTGCTTTCATTGCGGCAGAAGACAGAAAAGGTGCTTTTGCAACACAGTCAAAGGCTCTTTTGCCCCCGATTTTCAAGAGTCAAATGCTACCACTTGGCACATTTGCACCTTTTTTTTCAGGGCAGACGAAAATATGTTCATTGTGGAAGCATCAAGCTGACGTCCAGTAGCTATGGTACGCGGCTGTTTTTTTTCTCCAATTGGGAGAGCCGGTGGCAGGCATTTTTGACCATTTGGACTCATTTTTGAAGGGCTACAGAAAACGGACTTCAGTAGCTATACAAGCATGCAAGCTACCAAAAGAAAGCTTGAATTCTCTCCTTTCATCAGGGAAACACATTTCCGCCTCTTACCATTCTTTCGTAAACAGCAGTTGAACAAGTTGATTGAAAATACTCATTTCCAAGAACAATTTTGAGAAAAAGAGCTTTTTGTGAAAGGATACATTTCAAGCACAACTTTCCCTTAGATGCTATTTTTTTTTGTTGCATTTGTCATCGCTCAAATATCTAAACAATGCTTACCTACTAAATAACAACACAAAAAAGGACACTTTGATCGCAAAATAACAGTTCGTTGCCCTGATGCATGAACTTGGCATGAACGTTGAACTTTATCCATGCTCTCACCACCACACTGCTTTCACACACCACCTCGCCATGCACGTGGGATTGCCGTACTCAAAAGATACACACACACGGGTGCGTGCACCAAGATCGGATCAAAGGCCCTCCTGCCATGTAGTGGTGATTTATTATCCTGAAATTATACCCAAAGCCTTGATACTTATTGAGGTGCTGCACGAAGCCCATTTATTGCATTTTTTTCCCAAAAAGACCACCCATAAGGTAATTTCTACATTTTGGCACTAAATGATGAGGGTTTTTGCAAACGTCATTTTACGTATTGGCAGTCAATGAGTCCACGTTGGAGAAACATAGCGATACGTGGCCGCATCGCTATGTTTCCCATGCTGTTTTGAGCCAAACGGTACAGCGGTTCAACGACAGTTTCAGCAACTCCAGTGCAAAAGAAACAGTTTGCTGCTTGCTGATGGGAAATGAGCGTCCCTGTAAAAAGCTTTGAAATGAAGGACACCACAACACATGCCTGAACCATTAAGTGGACATGGGACATAAAATAGCCTAGCAAAGAGCGGAGAGCCACAATTTCACATTATTTCCTTCCATTAGCCCACGGCAGGCAGCGCAGCACCGTCCTGTCATACGACGGCTGCCTGCCGCACGTTGTCCTTCAGTGACCTGACGGCTGAATTATTTTCTTGCTCTCTGGAAGCCTTCTATCATGTCAAGAAAACAACAGCTCGATGTTTGTCCTGTGCCGAGTTGCGTGCTGCGCGGTTGTCTTAGCGTGATGAGTCAGCATCCGCTGTTGCGTAAAAATGAGTCTGCTGGAATTTCGCTTGCTTTTCCTGCTGGGGTCAGATCAATCAAAGGGGATTCGGACCGACCCAACGTTTGTATTACTCGAATTGGAACGTAAGTGGCTATGCTCAATGACTATCCCTCTGTCTTCGCGTCCTGTGACACCCCCCAAGGGATTTACACAACAATAATTCTTCTTACTGCTTTCGCTTCCCGTGCCTCTCTCTCTTTCTCCCTGCATTCCTCCCTCTCTCTCTCTCTCTCTCTCCCTCCACCTATTGCCATTTTTCCTCTCATGCTGATAGCCTGTCCCAGAGGATCCCAGTGGTTGTCAGTAATCAAGGAAATCACTCTCAAAGAGCTACAAATAGGTCACTTATCTGATGTCTGGTCTGATCTGAGGGAGACAGACATCAAGTTAAGTCCCTTGCATCTGCCTTTCTCGGCTATTTTTAGTGTGATTAGTAGCCAGTTACTCCACCGGGAGCGGGAGAGATGATGGTGATAGCGCTCGCTGCCTTTCTTTCACTCTAAGTGCGAGGGGAGGATGAAAAGAAGAAAAAAAAACAAATCGGAGCTTTTGTCATTAGCATTCCATTCGAATGGGTTCAATTGCGGCGTTGTCACTCATGGGATTCCCGGGAACTTGGAGACGTCGCGCTTCTTCATCTGTCCCGCGTATTCGTTTCAAGTCCTCTTATGAAGATGTTGCAGTCAAAGTGACGCGTGACCTCAGGTGACAGCAATGTGCGGAATGTTAAGCAGGCAGAGGTCACATGTCACGTCCGCAATATGACTTCAACAGGCCAGCCGCACGCTGACTGCTTTGCGATTCCGGCAAGACGCAATGACCGGCAACTGTGTGCACGGTTTGGGGGGGGTGGAATGTATTTTGAATTATTGAACTGAGCTCGTTCCTCACTTTGTGAACACGCTGTGACTCTTAGCTGCCAAGCACTTCACACGAAGCTGGCTCTTGGACTTGGAGGCATGAACAAGAGAATGTTCACTTGGAATCCAAAATGAACTGAATCGAAGTTTTCATGAACGTTTTGTGTGTGGGTGTGTGTTTGTCAAGGATGACGATGGGACCTCGATGGGACTTGGTCATCTTTTTTTTAATTTGAAAAAGCGCTGTTGTTGAGTTAGCTGCCGGTATTTATCCATATTTTCAGTCGTGGCCACACCTCGAATCGCCGTACCGCCGCCACGCCCACTAACACGCTGTGTGGACCAAGATCTGATCAACGCCGCTCCTGCCATCTAGTGGTCATTTATCATACCGAAGTCATTCCCGCAGCCTCGGTGCATAAAGCCCTTTATTAATATTTTCTAATTAATTAAAAAAAAAAAAAAAAAAAAAAAAAACACCCCAAACGTATTTCTACTGTTTTGGCACAAAATGGTGGGGCATTTGCAAACGTATTTTTACGTTCTGGCATTGAATGAGTTAATGATTCCGATCTGATTGGCATTGCCACAGCAGGCATTGTGAAAAACGGACAGACGTGGTCGAAAAACGAGACTCGGCAATATGATTGAGAGAAACGTACTTGAGATTACGCTTGGTTGCCGTGTCGACGGGGTGGGGGGGGGGGCGTGGGGGGCAACCTGCGAACGGCTTGCAGCAAAGTTCTGCTCCGTGGCTGTGGGAAGACAACTGTGGAAATTAAAAGAGAGGCTATCGTGTTCAAACAGAGAGATGCCGCCGTCAAAGCTGAACGGATGAACTCATTTCATTTTCATGCATGATCTGCAGACTCGCAGACCGAGGAAATTGCGTTGGAGAGGAAGCGAAAGATAACCAGAAAAGATGATTCCAGCTTTCACTTTTCGCCATTTGAGTCTGTGATTATTCCCGAACCAAAATAACGGGTTGGACTCATTTAAAAAAAAAAAAAAAAACATTAGGCAAAAGATGACGTGAGAGCATTTGTGGACCAAGTCCCCCAAAATGTGTTACCAGCTGAAGGGAGCGTTTGTGGTGGTCTCCCAACGGCAACGCTTCTCTCTGGAATGACTCCACTCCCCCGACTAGAAAGAATGGCCCAAACCAGGAAATGGTCACCGTAGAGATGCTTATATCATGTTTTTTTTTTTTTTTTCTGCCCCCTTGAGAAAGGCACCAGAAACCATCACGGTTGCACTGCCGGTTCAGGCTGACGTCCTTTTGCCTTCATGTCCTGAAAACATTCAACGGGTCGAAAAGTGGAATGAATCGTCGGGAGAGTTTCAGTTTAAAAATGTGAAAACCTCAAAATGGATGACCTTGGCTGGATAACGCAGAGGTAAAATAACGTCCGGCGTTGCCTCTGGATGCAAGTAGACGGGCTCCATCGTCCCGCGTAAAACTAACAAATTGCTACAACGGGAAACAACCTGCAGCCTCCGCCCAAGTAACGAACCGCTCATCCATAAGACAGATGCGACGCGGCCATGTTGACTGCAAAGCTGTCTGCTAGCTCAACTGTCTTCCGAAACAAATTCATTTCGTTGCACTTTTCTTGGCCGCGTGTTTGGGAAGAAAAAAAAAAAAACCTCTGAATGAGTCTGAATTTCCGCGAACAAAACGTCCCCGTCAGCGTGGGCTCCGGTTTCACATTTATTGCATTCGCTGATCAATCCATTCCGGGCAGTCGGGACAAAGGGAGGCGGAGGTGAGAATGTTCCGTCGGTAAAGCGAGCAAGCCAAATCTTGTCACATGAATGACGGGGACGCCGACGTCTTTTTGGACGTCGTAAAAATCAATGGCGCTGAAAGAACTACGACAAATCCATCTTCTTTTGTCAGCAAAGGCGCTGAGCAAAAGTATTGATGTTCTCATTGTGGTCGCAAATAATGAATGTTGCGAGGTGTTCAAACGGAAAGGCGGCCCTCCGCTTTACGTGAGAGCAACACCTCAGGTGCACGGCGCGATCTGACGCTTCACTCAAATGCCCAGTTATCAGTTGTCATCTTGCCGGAGACAAAAAAGTCACTTTTACCCCACCGGTATGTAAAGAAACATCCAGACCGAAGACGGCGCTTTCGATGAAATGCTCTCCTTTGAATTTTTTTTTCTTTTTTTCCCCCCTCAGATTCGCTCGGACCAGGACAAAGATGCCGGCATCCGCTACAGCATCACCGGGGCGGGTGCCGATCAGCCCCCCAGCGGCATTTACAACATCGACCCCATCAGCGGCAACATGTTTGTCACTCAACCCCTGGACAGAGAGGAGAGAGCCTCCTTCCACGTAAGGCGATCCTTCGATAATTGCGCGTCTCGTCCGCCGGATTGACCTCGCCGCTCAAGCCGCTCTCGTTAGCTCCCACTCATCTCCAGTGCAAACGTGGCCCCGCCTTTCCTCTTCTCCTGTCGACGTTTCGTTCCACCCTTGATGTCGCGGCGTGCCGAAAGCAAAGCCCAAGTCAGAGCACATTTGCGTTGCCGTGTCCCTCCATTTTCTCCATTCGGCAATGAAAGCCACAATAGACACCTCGGCTGTAATTTCGACCGCATGGGGTGCCTCGAACGGAGAAATGTGCTCAAGCGCGCCAAATTTTATTCTTACAATCAGAGCGGGTGAGCGGACGCGCGTACGCACCTATGTACAAATAGAGTTTTTAGTTTTCTGATTTAATTTATTTATTCGTGTTGTGTCGCGGGCCGCTGAAAATTGGACAACGGGCCGCAAATGGCCCTCAGGCCATAGTTTGGTTGACCCCATAAGCACATGGAGGTTCCTCTCTACTCACTTCTTCGGGCCTCACTCGTTCTCCTTTGCGGCCAGCAGCCTCGTCTGAACCAAGGCAGCCTGACACGATGCCGCACGCTTACCTTGAGCGCGCAGCACCTCTGACCGGGCTCGCTGCGCGGGAAGCCGGCATGCCTGCCGCGCAGGGGGCCTCACTACCTGAGATGGTGACGAACTGAACATCCCCTCCGGAACCCGCTGTGAACATCTTTGTGCACCAATGATTTGGTTATACAGATTGCACGAGAGCTCCTTGAACACCCGGGCCATTGCTTCATACGCAGGCAGTGCAGGTTGAGTTTATATCGCCCCAAAAGTGCGACACCTCCACTCCGGCGCCCGTCAGCGTGATAGATGGTCGCGCTGCCGATAGAACTAATGCAAACGCATGCGGCCGTCTCGGATTAGAGATGGAATAAAAGGGAGTTGATCACTTCAGCGTCTCCGCCAACACGCTGGCGCGCACGTGCCGTACGAACAGGCACATATCTTCCGGGGATCGTCCTCTTGATTGAATTGTCTCGTACGTCGCTTTCCCATTCTCTTTCCGACGAGTTCCTTCTTACCTTCTGCGCTGTGGAAATGTCAAGGAAGACGTATGCGTGTTTGTTGACCGCGCGTGATCTCTCCTGCGCACCCGGCGAATTGGGATCGATAACGCCGGCCGATTGTCGGTTCCCGAGGAAAAGAAGCGTCACGCCGCAGCGCGAGAGTGCGGGCGTATTAGTTTCTCGTCGAGCGGGGCTCCTCGTTAGACTTGTGTGGACTCCCGCTGCTCTCGAAGTGATGCATGATATATGGTTAGCGAATGTTGCAAGCGACGGGCCCAGGGGAAATTTACCCCCATCTCTCATTTTATTTCAACTTGACAGGAAGTTCCAAGCATTGCTGAGCTCTTACAGGCCAAACTTTGCTTGTTAGCCGGCCGCTCGCGTGAATAGAGAGAGAAGAGCCTGCTGTTTTTGACAGACGAGCACGGGGGGGGGGGGGGGGGGCGAGCCCGGCTCATCGTCTGGGCTTTAGCTTTGTCAGGCAAAGCTCCTGTGACTCAGCAAAGCAATTGAGCAAATGACATTGAGTTGTTCCTGCTTGGTTGTGTTGTACGAACACACGCGCGCGTTTCACTGGGCCTCGTTCACATGCCCAAAGACCGACGTCTTATTTGACCACTGTAGCGTGTATTATATCTGGAATAGCTCAGCGCGTATGATGCGGTGTGTGCGCATACGTGCGCGCTCTTCAAGAACGTAAACGTGAGCTGCTACATTGGGGCCCAAATTTGGGGACACAAAGGACTGATTTTTTCTTTTGCCGCTAATTACGTAGTGTCCTTTTTACGTGAAGTGGTTGATCCAAACGTTTGGTCATAGCTTTAGCAAACAGTAATATTGCCATAGGTGGCCGCAATTTAGGGTGCGTGTATATTTCAATCGCTCGGATATTTAAGGCACGGCGAAAAGCGATCAAAGGTGCGTGTGTGTGTGTGTGTGTGTGTGTCAAAGTTTGGTTCTGGATTACGGCGAAGTCTCACAAAACGTGCTTAACCTTTCACAACTTCTCCGTTCCACTGATTTTTTGGGGGTGCGGGTTTTTTTCCTAGAGTGCATTGTGTTCCGCATTCCGCATTGGCTAAGGGACCGCGGACCAACGGCAACAGTCTCCGCGCCTCGTCTCTGTACCGCTTGCCAAATTTACATCGGCTTCTTTTTGGGGCGTAACCGGCGCGATTAAACGAGGGTTCTCTGGACTTGTCAAACGGGGAAATCCAAGCCCTTGTGGGCCATTGTGGAGTAAAACTGGCCCCACAGAATAGCAATGTCATTTCATACTTTTGCAAAAGCGTACAGGCGCATATCTTCCGTCAATTCCCCACCCAGCCCCCCTTCTCCCCCACCCGCATCACATTCTTTTTTTTTTTTCTGCCAAACTTAGAAACACACAAACTATCATCTGCAAGGCATATTCAAATGAACACACACACACTCAGGACTGATGCACGCATGCTGAATACCGCATACAAATCCACGAGCAACATGGCCTCAGTAAACAGAGTCTTAAATGAATGCAAACAAAATTGCAGCTTGCTTATCACACATGCTCGCACACAAGCAGTCCCGCTAAGTGAAGTCACCCATCTTTCAAGTGTGCCATATTCGCTGCTGAGAAAACAGATGGAGCTGCTCGGTCGGTTGTCGCCATTGCTGTGGCTCAGCCAATGGCAAAATTGCACACACAATTGATGGCCCTTGTGCTAGCGCTACTTGCGTGCCAGTGCCCAGGTTAGCACCCGTTCTTTCTTTTTCCACCGCTGAAATTGGCTGGAGGTCTCGCACTGGTGCTTGAAACTGGCCCCAATTTCAAGCATCAGAGTCTGGCACCCGCTACGACGGGGGCCGGGGGGGCGGGGTTATCATGACCATCGCAGATGTAGAGGAATGACTCCCTGGACGCGCGGAAGTTTTGCACAAACTCCTACGCACCAGAAGAGCGATGGCGAATGTGCCCGGATAGCGTGCCTTCTCCGACTCGCAGCCAGCCCCATCATCATCATCTACAAGGATTCAGAAAGACAGAAGCGTTTGTTGATTGCATGTCCCTGACTCTTAGATACGACAAACAATCATAATCGATGCTATGCTAAGTTCCCTAGCAGATGTTAACAGCGCATAGTTATTATTATTATTATGGGGTGGAAAAGGGGTATATGTGACTCAGGAAGGCGCTTTTAAACGGCCGCCGGTCCCCCCGCCGTGTATCCAAACCTGCAGCAGCTGATATGTTGGACTCCAGAAAACATGAGCCAATTTAATGAAGCTCACGTCCAAGTTGGTCTGTGAGTCCGCCGTCCAAATGTGTTGAGTGTTCCTGCTGTTGAGTGTTTGCGTTGACTTCTAACGATGGCGTCTTTGCTTGCTTGCATGTGCATCGGCAGCTGCGAGCCCACGCGGTGGACATGAACGGCAACCAGGTGGAGAATCCCATTGATTTGTACATCTACGTGATTGACATGAATGACAACAGACCCGAGTTTAAGAACCAGGTGTACAACGGCTCTGTGGCTGAAGGATCCAAGCCAGGTAAGTCCACGGCAAGGGGGCGGACGGGAGAACGTACGGCGACACCCTCAAAACAAAAACAAGTCAAAGCCGAATCTGAATTTTGCGTGCAAAACGCTGACAGACTTTGTCTTTTTTTCGAGAATGTAAGAGCGGTGTTTCGATAGGATGCAAAGCAGGCTTGTACGTGCGCCGGGGTCAATCCGAGCGGCGGCTGGGCTTCACCTCGGACTGCTCACCTCTGCTTTTCATGTGTTCATATGAAATGGCGGTTTTCTTTTCCCAGAAAAAAATAAACGGAAAAATCTTTTTACCCAATGAATTCAAATGCCAACATAAAAACAGAATGTGTGATTCGGTGGGACTTGAAAAGAATGGTTTTGTCGGTTCATTGGGAAGAAAATGTGCTTTTTGACTTGTTTAATCGTTCGCAGGCTTTCTATTTTGTTCCAACTGCCGAGAAGCCAAAAGGGCACTTGTGTTCGGATTTGAATGCAAATTTGAGTCAAACTTGCGACTCCAATGGCAGTAACAGGAACAAATTGCTCGGTAGTTGGTCCAGCCGTACCGCTCATTCAGCTGCTCATACAAGGCACGAATGGCTTGATGTTTCGCCCTCTCCCCAAGCCGCTTCGTTTTAATGGAGAAAAGTGGCTGAAAATCGCACTCGCGAGAGCAAAACTTGATGGACTGGGATTTAGAATGCTATTATTCTCTGGCCCGTGGCACCACACTAATAATGGACCTGGCAAAGGCCCGGTTTACTGGAGGTCAGGTGACACATTTGATTTCACTGCTAAGCGGCGGCGTGCACTGGCGGGGCTGACGATGCATTCACAGGCTGCCCCCCCCCCCCCATCCCAAGTTGACAAAAATATTTCCATGGGCAGCAAAATCTGGACGCACGTAAAACAGAGCCCCCGTATCCCCACACCTGGCCCCTGCCGTTGAAGAAAAATCCTAAAGAGCATCCATATCCAAGAGGGTGGGTGGGGGGCGTACAATTTTCAGGATTTTCAGTCCTCCACCCACTCCAACCGACCCAGTTCCCCCCTCCCCCCGACTCCCTTGACAGCTGACAAAATATAACATTTTTGGAGGGGGGGGCGGGGCTTCATAATCACACGCTCGGAATAGCACACAGTTGTCAGCGAGCGCACAGTTTAGTAACTTGCAGTTGTATTTGTGGGGATTCACCGGAAAAGGTTGCGGGATGCCCATCCAGTAGTGCCCTCGAAGCAACTTTGACTTGGGCCACATTTCTTCGATTGGAGCTTTGTTTGCCTTCTTGCCCAACGTATGCGTTATTATCCGGTTGTGCGAAGCGTGGACAGAAGCGGCTCTTCCCGGAGTGCCGGGCAAGAGAGCGATGCTGGCCATCGCCGAGCTGAATTCCAGAGCAGAATGTTTAAGTAGATTTCTTTCTTGTCTCGACTGGACGAACTCTTGTTCTAACAATCAGACCCAGAGGACCCGTGTTTGTTTTCACAGCGTTCAGTGATTGTTCTGTTGCAAAGTTTAATCTCCAGGGGATTTGTAAACAATATGGGAAGGCGTGATGTGTGTCCGTGTGTGTGTGTGTGGGGGGGGGGGGGGGTGGCTGGGTTTCTTCTCAGTGAAGCGTGATTTCATATACACAGAAGCTAATTAGAGAGAGCAACCAGACAGTTCTCTATCTTTTTTTTTCTTTTTGTTTTTCATTTCATCCGTTGTCACGCCCACCGCGGCGTTCAAAATGAGAATGGAAACGGGGCCGTCGGAATGCAGTTTTGATCCCGTTGTGTTTTGTCACGCAAATGAGTCTCCTCGCTTCCTCCGTTGGAGGTCGACCAACACGCCTTTTGTGTTGTTGCTTCATGAAAAGGTTCCATTGACTGAAGAAACAAGGTTGAGTATCGCAACAATAATACAAGATCAGCGGCTGTGATTTGGTGTGAGGGGACTCTCTCGACGACACTCAGAATGGATCCGGTTATGGTTCACTTCAGGTCAGGTGATGTCCAGAACACTGCGCATGACAAAATGAGCGAATTAATGAGATGCTTTTTCTCCAAGCCCTTACTGTTCATTACTTTTGACACATAAGGCTGTTTTTTTTTTTTTGTTTTTTTTCTGT